TAGACTTAGTGTGAGGAGGTTTTTGTTTTTATTTACCTCCAAGTAATATTAACAAATTTTATAAAGTCTGAGTCAGGTACTACATGTTTTACGTCAACATTAGGTTAAACTAAAATTTTTTACAAAGCGCCAATGAACTCGTGTCATTCTACTCTATACTATTTATAGTACGAGTCTATTCTCACCATAAATTAAGGCTGATTAGGGTTCTTATACTATACATACTATACATAATACAATCATCGTAATCACTGGATCTATGAATTATAATCTTGAATATCGACCACAAATCTGTACCTATTAACTAATATTTTTTTTGGGTAAGTTTTTACAGTTAATTTTGTAAGTGGGTTTGCTTTATTTCTTCGATAAGTCAATAAAGAAAGCAAGAATACATGACACGTTTCATCACACATGACATTACAGGAAAAACCAACTGAATCAACAACAAAACGTCTATATAATGTCCTACGTGGTCACACCTTTTGAAGAGGAACCTATATGACGCGACCAGGTATTGTTGAGGACGATAGCATTACACCTTTATTAACTGCTGATCCCTCTCAAAGTAACACGTCAAAGTCCTCACGAAATTTTTGTTTGCATATAATCTAACACAATAATTCGTTGTTGATGTCAACAGTGACTATTCTCGCGTCGGCGTCACCTATTACAAGACTGTCTCACAACAATGCTGTGCCTAGTTTCCAGTTCAGACAAAAGGAGAGTCTAGGTTGGAAGTGTGAAGGCCTCCCTAAAGACAGACGCTACTCTCTTTAGCCTAGGACCATCACCAGAGACGTCTATGGGAGCGGAGTTTGAAGTCGCCTAAAGTGTTCGGAAGAAAGGTTGTGTAAACGTGTACAATTTGGGTTTCCGAAAGATCACGCACCTCGTAGGACCAGGCGTCGTGGTACCTCTCTGACCGGAAGATGGGGCCCCCACGTGACTACATGAAAAAACCCACTACTTTCGTGGCGTCCTGTAGACCACCTCGACTGCTGGCACGCAGTTTCCTTGCACAGACGGATAAGCCACGACCGTGTCGCGACACAGGACCAGGACCCCCATGTCGCCGTACCGATGTATGGAGGAGTTCGGTGACCCAGAGATGTGAAGGGACGGGACTCCTAGACGGGACACTTCCCTTTCCGAAATTGGTACCACTTTACAATAAGACTATACCCTTATAAAGGGTTTACGAATAGTTTGTAATTCATTTATTAATTAGGTCGTGAACACTTTATAAATCATGAATACGCTTTTATAAGACATGAGATAAAAAGGGCAACTGTGACCGGTTGCTTGCCAAATAGTGAGCCCACATGTATCTGTACTGCTAAGTCTTATATTGGCTACCTAGCTTACATCGTCTTCTTCATCAGCCAGCATCCTTGGTTGCTCACTGAGTTGATTCTCGCTAAGTAGCCAATATAAGGCTTAGTCATCTTGCCAAATAGTGAGCCTATGTTGATGCATGAAAACCATGTTAGAACTGGTTTATAAATGGTTCTTAATGATTAATAAAGTGTTTACAACCTAATTCCTAACCTAATTATAAACCCTTTATGAATCCTTTATAAGGGTAGTCTTATTGTAAAGTGGCACCAGGAATATAACCGCAGTCGGTAGAGGCTATACGAGGCAGAGTAGCAGAGAGTGAGGGTGCAATGTGCTGACATTAGGCTGTCAGTTAGCAGATTGCTTGCTCTTGATTTCTTAAAAGTCTCTGGTGAAGACGTTGCCTAGAGAGTTCTTTGCTGCTCAGTCTGGTATTCATCTGGAGTTAAAAAACTCTACGAATGCTCAGTTTGAAAAAAAGCAGGATTTCCCAGGAGCCTGAGCAGTGAACTTTCCCCACATCAGAGGAACTACAGTACGGCACAATTACAACTTTTGGAGGTACTCATCTGATCAAGTGCAGCAGCAAGTGTTGAATCAAGATGTTCATAATTAGCTTGAGTGCTGCTCGTGTATTGACTGTAGATTTGCTCTGGAAAGAGTGGTTATTTGTAATATCATTGTCCTGCAGCTGTTATAACATCCAGCTCTTTGAAACCCCACCGCTGCATCCTGAGGCAGCGCTGGGCCATTAGTTAGTCAATCAGCCACCTATGGCTGCTGTGGTCTTCCATAAATACCGTATGTACGCCAGAGTGAGTTTCATTCCATGGGTCCTTCCGTCTTTGTGTTGGTCGTTCTCAGAGCAATCATTCATAACAGGCTTCTCTGTGATGTTTCCCACCTCAGGGGGGGTTTGATTCTGGATTTAACTGCGGGGACACAGAGGGGGATTACTCTGGGAGGGAACATGTGGCCCTTTTGAGGCTTTTTCAAATCCTCTACTTCTCTACAGGGTACAAGTAAGGTACCCACTCTCTTCAACGGCAAGCAGAGAGAAAGACAAAGCCTCAGCTCTCTTATTTAATCCAGCTCAATCATTAATCATCAGGTCAATGATGTTAAAAAGGCACACTGGTGTTACTGCAATAGTTACAACATGTTCCTATGCTTTGAGCTAACCACTCTCTGAGCAGTAAATGCTGATGGTAGTGATACACTACCTTTGCAATGAGTGTTTTTTTTGCACAAATATACTTTTCGTAGCATGGTTTGTTTTGCCAATACTGGGCTGCAGCCTACAGTATATCTTATATATGGAAGCAGTACAGCCTAAAAGATAAGAGCGACTGTGCAGCAGCGATGTAAAACCACTGTGGTTGTGTGTAACAGATTGATTCCTCGCATAATGGATGCCTCTCAAAATCTGTCTCATCTTCTGGCCTGAGAAGATCTCAGCAACAGCCCGGTGCTGGAGGACAAACTCCAGCGATTTCAATGGCTAGTAGATTCCTTCAACATGGCAAGGAATCAAATCCCTAAGGTTTATAATGGTGGTAAAAGAAGCTAGATGGGCCAAAAACAAAATGGCAACGAACTGTGATGGCTGAGTTAAAGGAGATGGACCTAACATGGGACAAAGCACAGCACAAGACAGGTCCATGTAGACAGCCTTGTGTCCCATCAGGGAAGAAGAGGATTAAGCTCAAGTGATATAGCAGTATAAGGTTAGACAAAGTTCAAGGCAAAAGCTCCCTAGACATTTTATGTTCTTTAGCCTCAACAGTTTATAATATTAAAACAAGTCTTTTTGTTCTTTTTTTGTTGAACTCCCTTTTATTCAACTTGCCTTGCTCCATTAATGAGTTCTAACATTTCCTCTGACAACACCAGCTGAGCCAGGTCAGAGCTATTTAAGATAAGAAAAAAGAGTTTGAACCACCTATTTAAAATGCAATAGTACAGTTCTTCAGACTACATTATGTCTGTGAAATACCCCAGCATTAATGTATTGCATCTTCATCTGGCCAGTAACTCAGGAGAAATCGCCCCCTGTTTTTTTTAAGAAATAAAAAACAACAAACTATTCTACACAGCAGTAGGCAAACTGCCTGTCTTTGTTTTGACTACCTCCTCCAGCAGCCACAATATAAGGTTTAACAAAGGCTACTTAGCCGGAGGCAGGCTGAAAACCAAACAGATTTACTAAATAAATAGTATTTGCCGACCACTTCCTGCATCTAAGACAATATTAGGGATAATTGCTTGTGTTTCATTTGGAAAAAAGACGAATTAACACCGTAAACAAATGTCTTTTGGATGTGGGGGAAAATGGCATATTTTATTGTAAAGAGCTCCACTTACTTGACAGGCCATTCTTCTGTTTCTGCATAATTGCTTCCAGAAAGGCGATATTTTTGGACAGCATGACGCAAGTAAGCATAAACACAGTTATTAGTGCTTAGGAAACTGCAGGAGACCGAGCACAGGACAGGGAAGGAGGAAAGGGGATATTTGAATCCCCCATGGTGTTATTAATGTGACCAGCACTACAAAGCATTGACC